TGATAGAGAGAGAGAGAGAATGAAAACTACTTAAATAAGATTGGGGATGAGAGACGGGTGAGGTGACGATGCGGATGATGATGTAAAGGATAGAACGCACGAGGGGGCAACAATTATGATACGGGAGGACGTGGCGTTAATGATAACAAACGAGAGCAAGGTATGATACACAGCCCAGACCATACCCTGATACACGCCCCAGCATAGGTCGGGCAACATCTCAGAATCATCCTTTTTCTATGTTTTCCCCCATGGTGTTCGAATTTCGGTTTATAGCGTCTGTTGCGAACGAGTCACCTTTTTCTCTTTTGGCCGCTGAGTTTGGTTGTGTTTACAGCTCCAAGACTTCGAACAGCTTTGTGCTTGTAGGCCAAGCCCTATGCTCTTGTAGGGCCGCCGTAAGGCCTGCAGGCTTGTTTCTGCCAGATCTGATTGTTGGAAGACGTCGTACCTTTGCACTGCAGGTGAGTCCTTGATTGGGGACACCTCTGAGCGAATCATTGACACCGTCATGGCCGGGCAAGGGTGATTGGGCTGTTGATGGCAGTTGCGTCGACTAGAATTGCAAAGCCAAATGCATCCCTGTTCGATCATGCCCCTGTCCATGTTACAGCTTCCAGATGGTGCAAGGTATGCAGTCTAGTGAAGAAACTGCGTTGTGCTGTGGCTCTGTCCGAACAGCAGCGGAGAGTTTAGCTTCAAGCAGGAACTTAGAAGTAGTATTTCTGCAAGCATTATAGTACTGTGTGCCAGGGTTTTGTTGGGTCTCGGAACTTGCTAGGAGGCATCGGATTTTGAAATGCCTGTCTGCGGTGCTGGCAAAGCCGACACGCCGCTGCATCGCCATGCCAGATTCCTGGCACAGCAAAAACCGGTGGATTTTAAGGCATCCTTGCCTCTGCACTTCCCGATGTACACGCTCCCCCTTGCACAGCTGATGGAACTGACGGAAGTGGAGCCACATGAGGTGCTCCAGAACAAGGGATTGTTGGTGGAGTTCGAAGAGAGCCTCGGCAGAGCGGCATTCGTGTCACACCAGTGGGTTGGAAAGAAGCATCCGGATCCCGAGTTCAAACAGCTGCGGGTTCTGCAGGATGCATTGGAATATGCGATGGCAGACATGCGCCACATATCCCTGGACCTCAACACAGAGTTCCTTGTACCGGGTGTGGAGTGCCTCGATACCAGGGTCTTGCGAGAACGGAGCTTGTTCATATGGTATGACTACTTCTCCTGCCCGCAGCTCGACCTTCACGCTCGGAAGGCAGTTCTGCAAGAGGGATTCGGCCAACAAAGCCAGCTGGCTTCAGCAATTGCAAGCATTCCAGCTTATGTTGGGAGATGCTCCTTCTTCTTCGCGCTTTGTCCGGTCGTTTACAATCCGAACCGCTCCATGGTTTTCACGCCGACCAGCTGGTCTGGCAGGGGATGGTGCCGTGCTGTTTCTCGGCATGTTGAACAGTAGGACTTTTTCTTGTCGTTAACAAGGCAATCAAAGAACTCTCGCCAAGAAAGCCCCAGTTCAACCAGTGCAGGAAAGGGTCTTTCGAGAGCTGTCCACAGAGTCGTCATGGATCATGGTCAAGAGCCGAACGGAGTTAGAACTGATCGCGACACCGGCAGCATCAATTGGTGGTTCGCCTGGCGAAGGGACCTTCACAGTGGACGAGGACCGTCTGCAGCTTTCTCCGGTGGTGTTGCAGTCCGTTAAGCACAGGCTGCTCTTGTACTTGCAGAATGAGGACCTAGTGGGATACCGCGTCTGCCTGAATTTGCAAACCGTATTTCTGAGGGGCCTCCCGGCGAATCCTGTTGGTGATCTGATTCCCGGCTTTGATGAAGCGAACGTGGATTCTGGTTATCTTGCAGTATCTCGTTTCCTGTACCAGAACGGCTTTTCTGCCGTGGGCGACGTCGACAGGCAGGGATGGTCACCACTGCACTATGGCGCTTTGGCCGGGGATCCGGTGCTGCTCCGGAGCTTGCTCGAAAACCGTGCTCAACTTGATCGTTTGACGAAGAAGCCTCAACCACAAGCAGGGGTGCCACCTCGAACGTCGGCATTGTCCATTTGCTTGATGTTCAAGCACAACGAGGCTGCCCGCATACTTCTGGCAGCGAAGGCTCAGGCGGGAGCGTCTCAAAACAGGGACACCGGCTGCAAAACAGAATGTGTTGATGCAAAGGGCCTGTGAAACCAAGATGCAGACAGGTCGGCAGTGGCATTCAACCACCTATCAGTTTGGCGGCCATGGCGAACAATCCGACAGGTATTCGCATTCTTTGCGAGGCCGGCTGCAAGCCTGACATGAAGGACACGGGTCGATCAGGTCCGCTCAGGAAGTTCATGCCCATTGATCTGCTTGTACTGTCCATGTTGCAATTAGGGTTCTAGCTCCAAGTGAAAACAGGGCAGAAAGGACTAGCACACACCCTCACCACTCGGCTTTCCCAGGACATTCTGGGCTTCTCTGCCTTTGACGCAGCCTGCGGTGCGGGCAGTCTAGAGGCGATGCAGGAGCTCCTTACCCAGGCAGAGTATCGAATCGATCTCGCCCGATCCTTCTTCGCCTCCATGTCCAACAGAGGCGGCAAGCGTCAAGCCAACCTCATTTAACCCTGATTTGCCAAAATCTTGAGTAAGCCCTGGCCCTAAACTCCCCAGAGGTGGAAAGGCCGAGCTTGTGGAGCTCCTGATCACACTACGAGCGGACATGAACACCCCCTTCAAGCAGCGCCTGCTAAGCATCCACGGCATCGTGTTTGCTGTGAAGTCTCTGCAGTACCGGTTGGGGAGGCACACAATTCTTACCAGACTGGCATACCACGGTCATGGTGCAACGCCGCTTATGTTTGCGGTCATGACTGGGCAGTATGAAGGTGCTGCTGCACTCTTAGCCGCGGGTGCAAGTTCGGACGCACGCAACGCACGCAATCGCTCGGTGGCAGACTTCGCACGGGAGCAGTCTTTGCCGGTTTTCTTGAGGGAGGCGTTGGAGGGGCGGACGGAAGAAGCCCGGGAGTTGGTCGCAGTTGCAATTGCCAGCAACACCTTCCACATTTGAAGTTGGATATAAGTGAAGCGAGCGACGATTGAAAGAAGCGCAGAAGTGGATGCCATAGCAGTGACAGTGGTCGTCGTGTTTCGAGGTGCTTGTCCCCGCCTGTACTTTCAATCAGATCCCTCTTGTAGTCCTTCTTACTGCTACTGTGCGTCTTGCTTCTGACACGTCCGCGGCTTTGGAGGACCCGTTGCCGGAAGGCTTGCTTTGCTTCCCTGCGAACAAGTCAGCCTAGATTACACAATCATGCCCAAGAAGCTGAGTCAGCAGAATGTGAGACATCCCTCCTTTCAGGTTTCTAAACTTGGCAGTTTCCAGTGCACTGCCTGTCCTAGTGCTGACTGTAACAGATGGGAGGTGGATGCAGGCCGCAAGCTCAGTTCGCCACAGACGTGCAGGAAGCAAGCGGTACACGCAGGCATCGACAATCTTGGATGCTTGCCTTGCGAGATCCGGGTCTCCGCTTCCCACGTTGCATCAAGACTTGAGTCAAGACACGAAATTAAGAGTCACAAGCCTGCATGCCATGCCGGCAGAGGTTGAGGTTGGTGTTCTGTCTCGCGTTGTGCACACGCCGCAAAGGCGTAGGTCCTCGTACGAGGGAACAAGGACGTTCAAGAAGAGGTGTGTGTCGTACTGGTTGTGTTCACTGGTTGCACTCTGATTGTTCATCGACAATCATTCTCCTATGCTGGAAGTCTCGCCTGGGATAAGGCCTCCAGGTGTCCATGGAGTTGCTGCCTCAGCGACCTTGTTTTCTTGAGCGCTCCGTTTCTTTGGCGAGCTGCCGAGGCAGTGGGTGGGCTACAGCAACAAGACTGGTAGGCTGGGACAAGAGACAGCGAAACCAAAGTCGTCCGGTCTGCAGTAGGTCAAAGAGTCGGCGGGGTTCCTGACAGGATCGCCAGGCTTTGGCTGTATGCGAAGGTGTGAGACGCTTCTTGCTTCGCACAGAAACAGCGGTCAACTGCCGCGGCGAGAGTGCAGTGACATGTGTATAGAAGCAAGTGGTTTTGCATGTTCTTATACGACTAAACACTTTGACAAGCACATGCTGGAGATTGTAGCAATAGCAATGCATCATGGACTAGTGACTGTGGCTGTGCCAGACTTTCTCTATCTTTGCCTCGTGGCACGGGTCGTCCAGCCATAGCTGCGACTTGCGGGCCCAAACCTCGTAGTGTTAGACTTCTGATTTCGATTGTCGAGCCGCATCCAGGCTAAGCGGCGATCAGCCGAAACAGCCTCAGTCAGTTTTATGCTTCAAGATGCTTGGATGCGGGAGAACTTCTGTAGGCCAAGGCTGCCGAACGGCAATGGCCAGTTTCTGCCTATGGCTTTGCACATCAAGCTCAATGCTTCGTACTACGCAAAACCGGCTTTTGATAAATTCTTGCAGGTTTGGTCCCGTCTGAATGGAATCTGAATGGAAATTCCTCGGCGGCCTTGGAGCATGGTTTGAGGTCTGTCGCCTGCCTTCTCTGGACACAGCGTCCAAGACCTAATTCGCCGCCGAAGTGCATGGCACGTCTCACAAGCAGTCCAGTCACCAGCCTACACGTTTCTGGCAGCGGACCGCAAGACTTGAGCATTGGTATTGAGGTACAGGTGCCAGGAGAGGCTGCAAATGAGCGTTGGATCAGCAACGTGCGAAGCTAGTCCGACTGACTGCAAGGACCAGCGGAAGAAAACCCCCTGCATTTCCATAGAAAACTTGCCTTGCTTGGATTGCATGCACGGCATCCGCTACCAATCGGGGTCTGGAAGTCTGCGCAGCACAGTAGCCGACCGGAGTTTACACCATGTAGACAGGAATGAATTGTGACTGTTTCAGACATGATGGTGGTTAGTGATTAGCTACACGGCCCTGCTGCTAAAATCTACCGTGTATCCCTCGAAGGCCTCGCAGTCCCACGAAGATTCCCGCACTGCAGCAAGGCACGGAGAAGCAGCGAACGCTTCTCAGCGAGTTCTCACGCAAAGAGCAGCATTTCAATGAGGTGGGCCTAGTGTCACGGCTGTTGACTTTCTTGTAGTTCAGCAACAAGAAGGTTTGATGAGCAGGATGGTTGATAGTCATCAAGGGGCGACGATGGGAAGATGTGTACACCGGAATCTTCCGAAGCCGTAGAACCAGTCAGAGCAGCTCTTGTGCGGCCAGGAGTACCAGAAGAACAAGCCACTCTGTTTCAGCGCAGAGAGCCCAGCTGTGTCCGTGATATTGAATAGAGAGCATACACCAAGAAATCTCCCTAATATTATGAACATGTACAAATTCTTTCAAGAGATCCTCTAGGAAAAGACAAGAGACAGGCGAAGAGCTACCAGCGCACACATCCAAAGAAGCTCAGCTTGGGACACAAGGCAGGCGTCGTATAGGCGTCCCGCAGAATTCTCTTCAGCGAGTCCAGAGACACTCGAGAAGACTTGCTCGGCAGGACGCCGACGCCACCCTGGCTTCGCCAATGATCTTGGGAGTGGCGGATGGAGTGTGGTTGCCTTACGCGCCAGAGATTTGCCCCACATTCCTTGCGATATCTGTGAGGCAGGAAAAGCCCGATGCCCGCGGGAAATAGCTTGTACACGCAGTTTTTTTCTCTGAGAGCTCTTGTTGATGTTGTAGTGATGAGCATCATTGAGCATCAAGCGTTGCTGCCTGTCTTGAACTACATAGTATCTCCTTTGAGTCATCGTCCTGCAAGCGGTTGCTGATTGTGACCTTTAGCTGCTGATTGCTAGTAAAGAAACCCAAAACCCAAAACCCAAAGAAACCCTCTAATAAAAGCCGCTAAAAGAGCCGCAGACGGAGAGCGACTCCGAGGTCCCAGCTCGAGGAGTTTGGGATGGACGCCTCGCAGCTTCCCCGCGACGCTGGGGCTGACTTGCGTCTTGCGCTCTCCTCTGGAGTGCTTGGGAAATCAAGGTCCCTTTCAGGGGCTTAGATGCTTTAGAGCTTTGGGGGAGGTTTAGGGTCCGGTTTAGGGTTGTATGCGGACAAGTTCAAGACTTCAAGAAGGAGCTGAATGCTGGCTTAATGCAACAAGGATCTCTTTACAGGGAGGTTGGAGCCGTGTATTTGGCGAAGTTTCTTCTGGAAGCCTCAGCACAGAAAGATAACCTCACACCCTGAGCTCCTAAACCGCCGTAACACAAACTTTACCGAACCGCCGAGCCGAGGAGCTGCTTCGGATCTGCGAGGACTGCTTGTACTTATCTAGCAGAAGATTTAGACGTGTATGTATATGCATATACATATATGCACACACACACATATATATATATACACGCAAATACAAGTACCTTGTACGTATATACCTTGTGTGTCTATCTGCCAGAGCATGGCCGAAGCTTGGGAAGAGGATCTGGGGATGAACCAGCTGATCCCGGACCGGCAGGTGAACCCGCAGGCCAGTTGGCCGCCGGGAGCAGGCAGATGTAGGAAGTTCGTATCTGCCAGGAAGCCTACCAGGGGCCTGTGTCCTTGCTGAAGGCCATGGGCAGAGGGTGGGATCCAAAAGTCCTTTCCAAAGTCTTGGAGAGAGCATTCGCTTCCGAGGAGGCCTACGAGGAGACCGAAAGTTCCGAACTCGGCCGTGACATGCTGTGACTGGCCTTGGCATAATTTGGGGGTCTCGAGGCATGGGTTCTACCACCATCCTGCTTGCAGTGCCGGGCCTGGGCACGTTCTGCGCACTGCTATGCACTGCCATGTCCAGCGCCCTGCCTCTTGGCGGTTGCCAGGTCCTTGACAATAGCACGAAGATTCATGGGAAGCCAGGGGTCCCAGTGGATGGGGTGTAATCGGGCAAGACCAGCACAAGTTGCGGCATTTCCCCGTCGGCAATGCCTTTTGCTTGATGCGAGCTGCGAGGCTACACCCCATGGTCGCCGTGCTCACGATAGGTGCCCTGTTTGATGAAGGAAACCTTTCAATAGAGGCTTGTCCATAGACAATTAACTTGCAGGATCCAAGGCAGGGTTAGCGGCACCGGCACTGTATGATTGCAGGTGACTGCGAGCTCTTGATGCTGCGAAGATTAGATGGCCGCTTGGACAGCGCAAAATTGTTGCTCTCTTCTGGCTTGGGCCAATTGCGGCTGAAGATGTCTGATTTGCAAGATCCTGGCAGTTGGCAGCTGCGAGCAGGGATCCTGCCTGTGACGTGCCGAGGTCGGCAGTCTCCTTTGCAAGCCGCGCGGGGCCCTGCTCATTGCAGGGATTCTGTCACATCATGCTGTTTCCGGTCCACTAGGCCCACAAGAGCGGAGAAGCAACAGGAACAAACATCTTGTCCAGGGAGGATGTCGTGCAAGAGCTGCAGGTCTTCCATACAGAGATGCAGCGCATTGATGGACACGCCGGCGCCCTATGGCTAGATCTTCTTGAGTTCGCCTTTGACAGTCCCGATTACAGCTTACCGTGAATACTAAAACAAGCTGGAGTCTGACGACCGTCACAGTATGAGAAGCATTGGCTATCTCACCCAGGCGAAAAAGAGCCATGAGCAAAGCACACACGCGGCTCATGACAAGCATGATTGGTTTGTTTAGCGTCAGTGGCGCGCGGGTGCCATCGGGAAATTTTGAAAAGGTGTTGAATGCTGAACACTGAATACTGTATATTGTAGCAACACGAATGGTATCGACAATCTAAAGCAAACTAGCTGATGCGACAAGACAAGCAATGCTACTCGTACCAGAGTAATTATGGATGCACCAAGAACTTGAACTGGCAGAAAGCAAAAGACGCATCTAGGCAAACACCTATTTCGACAGAGCAAAGAGCCCGGATACCGCAAGCAATGTGAAAGGTATGGGCAACATGAACTAAGGCGAGTACCGAACCGAACTATCACAATAAAACTAATTGGCAGAAGCTGCCTCTTTGGCTGAGTCGCAAACGCCACTGCAGCTGGCTCGGGTCGATGCCTCTCCGGCAATTTTGCAGCATGCAATGGTTTCACTGTAATCGCACGCCCGAGAAAGCTTGTGCCCGAAGAACGTGTGCCAGGATCGGGTGGATCCCGATTTCGACGAGGAGCTGGCGCTGGAGGTGGGGTTCGGGAAGAGCTGATGTGAGCCAACAGTCGCCTTTACATTTAAACCAGAAAGTAGCTGGAGCTGATGGTTCGACGGTGTGGGGACACGCCGGCTTTGTCGGATGTTGGAAAATGCACGTTGACATCGACATAGCGTTTGCAAAGCACGGCTGACACTTGAGCACCCCGGCGGAGGTCATCGAGCGAGGCAGCGCTGTTCATTGTGTGTCGGCTTACGAGGGCGACATCATCGCAGTTGGCCCAGCTTCAAGTCATATATTATGCGTACATGACAATGATCCTCTTGTCTGCCAGTGTCCTAGATTATCTTTCGTTGTTTCGTTGCATCATGAAGAAGTGTGTTTGACTTTAGCTGTATAGAGAGGTCCGTCCTATGTATGTATCTACGCCAGCGTCTGTCGCTGGCTGGCTGGCTGTCCGCCTAACTGCCTGCCTGTCTGCCTGCCTACGCGCCCGCAGGGCTGGCTGGCTGGCTGGCTGGCTGTCTGGCTGTCTGTCTGTCTGTCTGTCTGTCTGTCTGTCTGTCTGTGTGTCTACCAATGTATGTTCGTGGGTAAGTATAAGTATGAATGTACTTATGCACGTATGTGTGCCATTTACGTATGCAGTTACGTACGTACGTGCATACGTTCATATGTATGCATTTACGCATTTTCGTATGTCCGGCAGGTAAGTACTCTACATATATATATATATATACTTATATTATATTCGGCACTCCATTTGCATAACTCTCCGGCTGTACGGTTTCTCATTGCTAAGATTCTGGGAAGCGACGGGATTTTCGACAACCTGTTCCTGGAAGAGGACGAAGACACCATTGGAGATCGAGAGTAGAGCATGCTCTGTGTTTCGGCACTGACAGAGAAGTTGTATGCAGTTCTACAGGCAGCCTGCCCTGTTTCCAGTTGCGCCACTGCCGAGTGAGAGAGCGTCTTCTTGGCAGATTGTCGACATTGTCAACGAGTCTTTGCCGGCACCCAAAGCCGGCAGCTTTGCCGGCGGCCGAGATGCCGAGATTCTTGCAATGTGTTGCCTCCGACAAATATCTTTATTTCGCATCCCGCTTTCTTTTGCCATTTGGCAGTGATTGGGAGGTGGCAACCCAGCCGAGCCTTTTGAGCCTTTTGGCCAAGCGCCTCGTCGACGAAGCGCACAGCAAGTCCGAGGCGAGGCGGCGAGACACAACCGTGATGTCCACGAGACCTTAACCTTGATATACGCCGCTGAGAAGCATGTGCATGGTCTTGCAGCGTGTTGTCAAGCCGAGGCAGGCCTCACCTGAGTCCCTTAAGCCATCGAGAAAGGTTGGCCGCCACGGCCTCCCAGACACGCCCATCGGTCTGGGAGGGAAGATGGATGACACCTCGGTGGTTGTGGGAGAGGCCCTTGGGACAGTGTTTTCAAGCTCGGTCAGCTCGGACGGTGTCATGGGAAGGTCGCCGACCATAGAAGACTCCAACAAGAAACCCCCGGATTTTGATCAGGTGGTCGAGTGGACACGTGCTCACAGCGAGGTCTGGGCTCAGGCCGGGGATAGCAAGATGCAAATTGATGCATGAGGTGGTGTATGGTTGGCTCGTGCAACAGAATTTAATCTTGTCTATGCCCGGTGCCACGGCAAGGATCAGTTGTCGTCGGCTGGACTTCATACACCACGATGCTTGTTGTCAGACCGGATGGCCATTGTTCGACATCTTTACCCTACCGTACAATACTTGTACGACCGAGTATGCAACTTTTCGTCCGTTTACACTTGCAGCGCTCGAGGATCCTTGGCTGCGCAGGGACTCGAGGAATTCGAGCGGGCAGTATTCACACGCTGCGCAGCAGCCATGTCCGGATTCAAAACTCACTTGTCGACTTGCATGCTTAAGCTTGCAGCCGAAGCCCCGGTGCAGTGGCTTTTGTAATGTAGGAACCTGATCCAAAAATCTCTGGTTCTTATTCCTTGTAAATCTATTTAGAGGGTTCTGAAAAATACTGGCCCAATTTTATGCATCCTAGTCTTTCGGGGGTTGGCAAAGCGGAGACACGTGTGTAGCGATTCTTGCTTCGCGACACACCAAGCAAGACAAGGTTAGCAAAGCCAGGATGTTGATGTCGGCTGCTTTCACTTCGGACAGGTGCGGAAGCAGCACCAGTGGAGAGGATTAGTTTCTTGCCAGGAGCCCAGTCAGAGACTGTGGACCGGAGGGAGCTTGTTGATCGACTCGGCGAGACCGCCACTGGTCTTCGCAAACACTCCCAAAAACGCATCTTCTCTGGACTAGATCGGTGAGGTATCATGAGCATCTGTATGGCAAATGGTGACAAGCATGGCAAATGGTGACAAGCTTCAGCAAGCGCAGTGGTGCACCTCTGTCATCAGTCTACAGGGAATGGGAGCCTCTTTGCCTGACCCGCACCAAGATGTGAAGCACCAAGCAGAGACTATGCAGTCTCACACTGGGTTTCCAGGAAAGGCGGAAGGCTGAAATTGGGCGTAGCAGGACCCCAATTCGTTTGGCATCAAGGTGAGCCGCTGCTAGAAACCCCTCGATGCTCAGGTGGAGGGATGGATGCTACGAGCTCAGGGTGTCAGGGAAATATGTCGAGTAGATAGGTCTTGGCTTGTGGCCATCGGCATGTGGCCATTGTGAAACACTACTGAGAACATGGCGTGCCGCTCCTGCCGCTTCGGCGATGCTGCTCGGCTCAAGAAGACCAAGTTCCTACGAGTCCTGAAGAGCAACCAATGAACCTGGAAAAGGGATGGGCAGCCTTAGTCACCCCGAGTGTCCTAGTCACGGGTTTGGGCAAGGCTTGGGGCGAGATTCAAAGTTGGGTTGTCGGTGTCAGCATCGGGCGTGTGGAGGTGTGTCTGCGACTCTGACTCGATTTCCAGCAGCAGCCACGCACAGGTCTCCAGAGCAAGGGAGCCTCTGTAGTGTGTCAAGTAAGCAGAAGAGCGAGCAAAGCAGTTTGGAGCACCACCGAAAGGGGCTGGGACGGACACCTGCAGAATCCAACTAGCACCGGGCTGCCTTTATCAGCGGCATGAGGCACCAAATGCTGCAGCGACCTTGCTGCCACACGGCGCAAGAAATGCGTGTGATCACACAAAATTGCAAAAAGGAAGGGAGCACGGGGGCAAACGGCGACATCTTGAGAGACGAGTGATAGAAAGTGGCTTTGCCTTCGGTTTCGGAGCACATCCGGGTAAGTCTCCGGGTTTTGGAAAACTTGGTGGCTTTCAGGACAGCGGGAGCGAATATGAGCTGGACATCAGCCAGGAGAAAGGCTGGTCACTCTTCATCATGTCTTGGGCGACATCTCAGACCTCGAGAGGTGGACCTAAGGAGTTCTGGACGCACGGATCAGTTCATGCCAGCACGGAATGTAAGACAATGTAGGAAGTGGGTCCGAGACTCATAAGGTCGCTCTGACAGATCGCTTGCATTGCAGGCGAGCGCGGCCTTTGTTCGACGGTGCTGTGCCCGGGTAAGGAGTGTTTTCTTGTTGCGAGCTGACTGGACCGCTTCCTTCAGTGTGTCTTGACATCTGCTCGACAGCCTGGACGGAACCACATAGTAGTATGTCAGACGTGAGCCAGGTCGTGTCCGATGGGGACTCGGATGACGAGGGAAATAGATGTGTGTTGCAATGATCGGAGCTGTGCAGCTTCTGGCGCCAGCCCGCAGGCCCAGAGTCTAATTCAAAGGAGCTTGCAGGCACCCCGTGTGCTTTCAGCAAAGACGCATTTGCGCAACTCCACTCGCCGCAGCCAGTTCGTTCTGTTGGAGCTGGCCATGGGGGCCCTCAAAAAATGAATAAACGGAGGTTGCGCACATGCCTCTTCTTGCTGTTTTCTGTGTTTTCCTGCGCGCATCTGCGCGATGCGAGGCCAGGCATGTGTTTGTTTCAGAGAGCACAGCGCCGCAGAGCCAGTGCCTCTCCAGTCCCACAGAGTTGAAAGCGAGCCAAGGCGCTCAATTCATGCATGCTCGCTTCTGGGCAGAATCTGCAAGCTGCTGGCAGTGGCAGCTGCATCTGCTGGAAGCTTGTCCCCATTGCGGCAATGTACCTGACAGAGCAGGGAAAGCAGAGGACTCGATGTTCGTGGCCTTTAAGAGGCTCTCCAACTTGAGAAGCAAGATTGAGATGTTCTGGCTGGTCTGGCTCAAGCTATTCGGCCTAACAGGTCGTTGCTTGGAAGGCCCACTTGTGGCATGACGACATGTCGTGACGCATTCAGTATTCATGCACCGATTTGTGGGCGAGAGTGTGTGTGTGTGTGCTGAGATGAAATGGCTCGTAAGAGCAAGAAGAACCATAGAACGACTGTAGTAGCGCCCTCATGTCCTTCGCAGGCTCTGGGAGATGGGAGCTACATCTCAGAGCTTCGGCCGTGCAGCAAAGGCTCCGACGAGCAAGGCGGCTTTCTGTGGGCCGTTTGGGAAAGTTCTAGGAGGCTCGAAACCCCAACCCCCCTGAACCCTAAAAGCACTTAACACAGAACCCTAAAAGCCGACACCCCAAAGGCCCATAACTCCCTAAACCTCTAGACGTCGCTTTCGTTGGTCTCTCCCGTTGCTCGAGGCGCAGTCGCGGCGAAAGACCAAGTTTTGCAAATTCAACTTTCAGGCCTGGATGATCCCTAAGAGGGATTCCTGTGAAATCCCCACGAATCTCAAGCAACTTGGCGGTTTGGGGTCTATAGTCTATAAGGGTTTAATTTAAAAGTAGCTACAAGAATCCGGATCGGTCTTTCCGGCTGCGTGCATTGTGCGGCAGGGCGTCTGCAAGTACTCCGCAGAGAATTGCATATACGCTCACAGCTTGGAGGAGCATTAGATTAGAAGCTCTGCAGCAGATTTTGATTTATCGTGAAATTCTGCGCAAGAGGAGATGCACTTTGCTGACGGAGGCCGTTTCAGTTGATGTCAGTCATGACTGTTTATATCTCGCTGGGGCCACAAGCACGGCAGCAGGAGAGCAACTGTGCGTGCGCAGACATGCTGGGATATGCTGGGATGAGTTTGCAAGACATCTTAGCTTTTGATCACAGACTGCATTGTCGATAGCCAGGCTGCAGTGCAAAATGTTGCAGCGAAGCTGTGGACTGCAAGTCTCAGCAGGAAGTTTGGCTGTTCGCCAGGCACATTCCGCAAAGCCCAAAGTGCGGAATCTGCAGAGGCCGGCGAGCAGCAGAAGTGTTGAAGTGTTGGTGTCATCCCGGTTCCACTCGTGCAGCAGGTCGTGGTCACGACCGCAACGGACGTGCAGGTGCTTAGCTTCGCATGGTCTGTACCTTTCTGAAAGAAACCGAAGACTTCTCAGAGCACCGAGGCAGAGTCTCAGGAAGGCTGTGGAACTGCCAAAGGCATGAATATCCTGCCGGTCCAGCCGGCTCGGTATAAAGACTCTGTAATCCTCTTCAAAACTTCTGCTGCCAGGCCTGCCTCCCGCGTCCCATGATGCTACCACCAGGCAGAGCCGGCAGAGCTTTGAACTAAAAGGATGACATGGCTTGCATGGCTGGAGGCCTTGTGAGAGTTGCTCCGAGAGCTCCGCCCAGCGTCGGAAGCCTCAGCTTCCCGACTCCACCGGCCCCGGCGCCCAGCGGCCCGGCGTTACCAGGCCCGGCCAAGGGACGCGCCGAGGGCCGGCACACCAGCTTTTGAGAGAGAGAGAGAGAGAGCGCTCCTGCCCGGGGGCGGCTTCCGCCCCGGGCGGCTCCTTTCCGCTCGGGAGGAGAGGAAGGACCTTCTGGAGCTTCTCTCTTGGAAGTGGCCCAGCTTTACCAGGCGGGATGGTGCTGAGCCGTTGTAGGCCAAAGGCAATTGACATGTTCATCGCCTTGTCAGTTTTCATGGAGTCTGGCAGGGTTTATTTACCACGACTTAGTCTTTTCGTTGTTTTTGGCTAGCAGCCTGCAGAGCCAAAACAGCTAAGTGTTGTCTTGGCCCACCCATTGGCCAATCCCTCTCGGGGCAAGTGCCGGCTGATGTGAGCCGCATTTGGTGCGCGAATGATCTAGAGTCAGTGGAATAGTGCTGTTCCAGTAACGACAGAATTTTATTTTTTCGACAGATCCCGACCGATCTCATTGAAGGTGGTTTCAGACCTGCCAACAGCATTCCGAAAGCAGATCTTAAGCGGATTCTGGGTTCAACGAAGGTCCATGGGATGTTTTGCGAGAGTGAAAGCAAGGGAGGGGCTCGACCGTAGCCAGAACTGCACCTTGGGCATGTGCAAATCACAGTCTGCGCAGCTACAGGCTCTTGCTGGACTTCGCATGGAATTGACAGCTGTGGCAGACCTTCTCCGGGCAATTGAGGTGGGAACCTGAAAAAAGCGAAGTCAAGCAAGGCGTGACCATCATGCAAGTTTTGCAGCATGTGCTAGTTCTGATCATGATGATCCCGGCCATTGGCGAGCTAATGCGGATGACGGCCAGTTGCGCGCCCGATCCTGTTTCAGTCTGGAGGTAGCCAAGGCGGATGTCCAGCAGATGGTGTCGCAAGCTGGTTTAAGGCTCGATCATACATCGTCTTGTTGTAAACTAAAGTCAATTTTCGAGAAACTGTTACGAGTACGTTCGACAGCTTTGGACAGGTTCGGTGACGGCGAGCAAGCTGGCGAGCCTTGGCAGCAGTGCTCTAGGGGCGGGGCCTTCTTGTGAGCTCGACACTGTGCCGACAGCTTTCGAGTCTGAAGTGCATCTTTCTCCATCAGCCTCAATCAGGTGTGGCCGGCTCCGGCACCATTTCGGTGCAGTCCCCAGCACAGCATGGTGGGATACCGCTGCGCATGAGGGAGGAACCTCAAGCCGAACACAGCAATGGTAGCTCAGCAAACGATGCAGGGAGCAGACGAATCTTGCAGATCCCTGCCCAGAGAAGCTTTCTGCAATTTTCAGATTTTTAGGGCTGATCACCCTGACGTACCTGCGATTCTCGAGCAGTATGTGGCAAGAGACTAAGCCAAAGACCTCAAAGAACGAGGTTGAAGTTATAGTTTTTTCGGTTCACATGTGTGTTGATCTCATCGCGGAATCGTTACTGCAGGAGTGTTAAAGTTTGTCGTGTAGTGCATTCATGCAGGTAGGAACAAACGATAACAAACGTATGCGGTCGGCCGAAGCATCTCGACTCGACCGCACTTTCTCGAATCCCCTTATTCTCTCGCCTCTCGTCGCCAACATGGCCTCTGCCGGTGCCTCCTCGCCTGGAGCTTTCTCCGAGGCGTTCGCCGACTATGCGGCGATCGCGGCCACTTGGTGGCGCCTCCCACTACATCGTCGCCGGCTCCTACGGCATCATCACTGGAAGAGCGGCCCGCGACGGGTGCAGAGGGGATTGCTGGGAAGCCCACGCCGGGCGCCTCGGCAGCTTTAGAGCCGGATGCTTCATCGGCGGGGACCCCTACATCGCCTCCTTCGGGCATGGCTCCTTTGGACCCGTTCGCCTACCACGGCCGGGTTGCGGGGCAGTTACAGGAAGGGCTACGGCAAGGATCTTTCTGTCAACGGGATTCTCGCCTCATTCTGGGGCTTGGCGGTCGCCCGAGTTCTACCGGGCGGCGAACGTCTCGGACGGTGTGTCTCAGGGCGACGACTCCCGGGCAAGGGCTGAAGGCTGGACGCGGGTGAGGGCACCCGTCGCCAGGCCGCCACCGACATCGACTTCGCCTGTCATGGAGCGCCTGAGAGACTGCTTGATCTTGCCATTTGTTTGGTGCCGGCGCCGGGCGGGCGCAGAAGTGCGCACCCCGGCACCGAGTTCGGGTGGTGTGCCCGGTCGGGCCAAAGGGGCCACTGCACCTTTCATTCAGGCACGTGTAGGAACAAACGTATGCGGTCGGCCGAAGCATCTCGGCTCGACCGCACCTGCTCGAATCCCACCCTCGCCTCCCTGAAGTTTCTGAATCGGAGACTTCGTCTGACTATCGACCGGCACTCGCGCTCTCGGGCGGTGCGGAAGTGCGCACCCCGGCACCGAGTTTTCGGGCGGTGTGCCCGGCCGGGCGCTGTCTGCCCTACGACCCAGAGGGGCCACTGCATCCTCAGCAGGAGTTTTGGCTAACACGCCGCTGGCTAAGCGTTTTGTTGTGCTTGAACTGGTGGTGACCACTCGTGGTAACCGACTCTGGTCACCAAGTTTGGTGGGAATAGCTAGCTGCTGACGTTTGTTTTCTCTTCAACACACTCACTTCATCTGTCTTCTACTTGTCTTGTACTTCGCCAACAGGAGTTTCGCGATCGGTCCGGGATAGGACATCAATAATTCACAGAAGCTGTTCCGACAGACTTACCGCATACAGAGAACCGGATTAGCCGCAGATTAGCCCATTTTGGTCATGTTGACTAGTGCTGAACGAAGAATCAAAGCTTGTGTGCATATGATATCACTATGTAACATATGTACGTATAGCACTGATCCTTCACCACCTCCACCTTTTTCACACTTTCACGTTCTTGACCTTTTTCACCTTCTTCGCCTTCTTCAACCTTCCTCGCCGCCCGAACCCCGAGCCACCAGCCCCGCAATATACCCGGAATCCTAATCTCGGTGACCACTCAGTACATCCTTTCCCTGCCTTTGCAATGAACTCATGGCCATGGCACGGTCAGGTACGTTGCGCCTCAAGTCGGATGGCAGGCTTGATGTAAGGAAACAGCATGGTTTGGCATGTGGACATATGTTCTGGTGTGCTTCCTTGTGCACAGGTGCCTTCGGCAAGCTGGTCCGATGGATTCGAGCTCAGTTTGGAGCTGGATATGATTAAGCAGGGTCCTCCATCGTTTATGGATACGTAGATTTGTAGAGGGCGGGGAAGCTCGCATGCCTGAGTACTTGCTTCATCTTGGACATGCTGTAGTGCTGCCTTTGCATGTGCCCAGAAGCCGGGTTCCGAATCCCGGGCTGTTGGCTCATCTCTGACATCTGCGAGGCGTACAACTTCCGTGATGGGGTGTGGCGCCCTGCGATGTTTGTCGTCGTCTGTACAGATAGGAGGCATTGTTTTTGGACACAAAGCTGTTTATCCTGAACGGAATGGTAGGTTTCACATCTTTCCCCTGCAGCTCTGAAGCTTGCCATGTGGCCGGTCGACCTAAGTTGGTCCCAGACTTGCAGAATCACTATCCGGAATGCCAGTTAGAGCGCACGTGTCAGTGCCTATCTGTGAGCAGGGACGGGGAGTTGTCGTGTCGTGCTCCCTTTCGCCGTTAGCTGCCATGCCAACGCACCTTCGAATTGGATAACTTGAATATGTGGCCAGAGAACATCCGGACGACGCTGCTCAGCAGAACCTGTGCTGATACTTTCAGCTGCGATGTGAAGTTTTTTGTCCTGCAGACACGAACGCGGACATGACAGCCCGCTGATCGTGCAAATTTTCTGAGCACGACTATGGATTCGCAGGTGTCTCTTGAAAAGTGCATTTAAACACAGCTTGAATTCTGAAGACGAGCGTTTTGCTCAAAAAGCTGGGGCCTCCAAGGAGGGACCAGCGCCGGAACTCTGCCAATTTTGGAGGGCTCGGAGTCCGGAGGCGCAGGCTCGCATCCCAGAACGGGTCGTCTTCAGGGTGCCTGTCTTGCACCGAGCTGTGGGGGTTCGAGGTCCCTCCGACAAGACGTGCTCGAAAGGAGAAAAGAAGGGCAGCGTGAATTCCTTGCGCTTGGGACCGTGGAGGGCATCTGCCGCATTGCTGCGTTTCGTCAACATGCGACGGGGACGGCTCCAAGGCAGAGGAGGCTGGAGTTGCAAAAGGAAGCCTTTGAATCTGATCCTGGACAGAAACTTACAGCATGGCAGGGGTGGTTAGGCTTCGGTGCTTAGTGGCTTACTGTAGCCTGTCTGGCCCTCCCTTCGCATACCCTTTCTGTGCACCCCGGCGACCAGCCCAGCCATGCCCTGTTACAAGGACATCGGTGGTAGCGTGTGGTAGCTCATTCGGGTGGTTAGTGAAGGATGTCTATTCCTCTCTCTGCTTACAGCCTCTTGTGGCAGCCGACCGGCATCTGTGGGGTATAGAGTTGCAGATGCCCAGAAGCGCCCAATGCAACGAGCGGTTTCATCATAGAAGCCATTCAGCAATCGCACGCTTGAAGTTGGCTGTTACGTAGGCATCGGAGGCCAGATCGTGAGAGGCGTTGCCCGCGTACATCGCAGTCCTTGCAGAACCGGTCTTTGGAGTCTCCGCTCAATCCGCTCACCAGGACCTCGCTCTCGTCCCACTGGATGCCGGGTTTGTCCGCGGCTCCATCCTTGCACGCAGGATCCCCAGCCTCCTAGGATCGTTCAGAGATTCGCAGGGAAGCAGCTAAAGTGGTCAAAGGCCTTTCGGTTGATTACCCCTTCGAGCATCACTGCAAGACAATGTTGCTTTTTCGACCCGCAGTGCAAAAGATGCGTAAGCTTGCGCTAGTTTAGAACGACCTGCAGTCTTGAAATCCCCAGGGATAGGGTTTGTGGCTTGTGGTTTCAGGGCGTAGCTTGAAGTTTCGGCAGAAGACCCTGTAGACGGAGCCCAAAGCCCAACCCGGTTCAAACTTCACCACCTAAAGTCATGAGCCCTACACGTGTTACCTTGCCCTACGGTAATAGTATGAAATGCGAGCATACTAACCGTCATCCTAATGACAATACCAAGAATAATCGCCTGCGCGATCTTGGCAATATGTATTCTCAGCACGAGTTTGCGCAGTGGTGCCTACGTCACTTGTCATGATCACAGGCTCGGGACGTGGTCCGCGTCCGAAGCTCGGATGCTGCTGCCGCGTGCAACGCGCTAACCTGGAGAGCAGTCGAGGTTGTCCGCCAGACGTAAGAACATGGCAGCCAGAGCACGTCGTCACCGGCTCAGTGAGGCTCAGACAGATTCAGACAGGAAAGTTAGGGCTTTAGCTAAAGCCTCGGCTTCATGTCGGGAATGCATGTGGATCTTGAGTGCCACACGGCTGTGCTGCCATATGGAGCAGCTCCTCATCGCTGAAAGACGTATCGGCGTCGTGCGGCTTTGTAATGCTGGCCCCTGGCAGCACCTGCCTTCAGCGATCTTGCTGCTTGGCTGCCTGTGCTCTGATGTCTGTTGTCCGGATGCGCGAACAACAGCTCGACTGTGGTGTCGACTTGCGACGAAAGAAACTGAGACTCATACACCTTTTGGGGGTGGCTTTGCTAACGCTTCGCCATATCGTCCGGTTGGGCACGGCCACAAGCGGGCAGCTGGTCGGGGAAAGGGAGCCTGCAGGGTACGCAAAATCCAGTGCATGGGGTTTGGGCCGGTCAATGAGTTCGCAGGCAGGGCGTGGCCCTGTGGTCACGGAGAGGATGATTGTAGCTTCGGTTGCGGCGGCGAGGGGGAACCCAAAGAGCTTGCTGTGACAAGCTTGTGAGAACCTCGGGTAGGCGCCCGCTGTCCAAACAATCCGGCGCGATGTGTGGAGCTGATGAGAAGTTCCTCACAAGCATCCCGAGAGACGAAACCGATCCACATTCCACTTTGCGAGCCAGGTGCTAAGCGCAGGTGCAAACTGGAACTGTCGAATATGGCCATGGACAAGCGGTCGTTCGCGGCAGAATATCAATTCTCCACTCGATCAGGTGGCACTTGCGCGGGCAAGCGAAATCCGACATGCGGAGGCATGCACCCAAGCTCGAACAGTCGCAGAGTCCCCCCACTTCCTGCGAGCCGAGCCCTGCCAGACACTACGTGGAGCTGCTGAGCGACACCTCCAGCGCACTGCTACCGCTCCCAAGCTCCGCTGTCAGGCGCTTTGCAGAGATCGACTTCCGTTCTGAAGCCCTGCGTCTGGCAGGCGGAGATGGAGGAAAGCAGCTTCCTGCGAAAACTCGGCCCAAAGCTTGAATACCAGACAGAGGGGGTGGAACATCGCAGCATTTTCTGATTCCGGCACATGGGGTTACGAGATGTCTGTGTCTTGTGTGACGACCTGAGGTGCGGAGGCTCCCTCGCGGATGACGCTGGGCCTCCGGGATTCTCTCTAGCGAGTATGAGTAGCCTTTCATGAGGCCCGATCCTCGGGGTCGCAGTCGGTAGCTGGGGGGGGGGGGTCACTTCGAGAAACGTATCTTCATGTTCGGCTCGCACAGGGTGGATGCCAGGATTCTTCATGACTTTGTCTATTTGTCTGGTAATGTATGGTAGCTTTCAGCTTGCAGAGGCGTAGGTGGGCTAACTTTTTGCACCAATGCTCACAGAGGGTGCTTTGGCATCAGTTCTGGAAGTGCAGGGTAAGGGGGCTTAGGGAGTGCCGCAGTCGTGGTGTTCACTCGAAGGTGACTCCGACTGCATTCGAGCCTCGCGAATTCCACGAATGTGGCGCGAGTAAAAGCAAAGGCAGTTGATTGCGCGAGATGGGGCCCGGAGGCTTGAAACATGGTCACGCGCTTCATGTGATAGTGTGTGGCCGCAGCATTTCTGTGCTTGGAAGCCATGCAAGAGTTGAACTAACTGCTTCAAAATCGTTCTGCGTAGGTAGCAGCAACCACTGCAGTAAACAGCTTGACGCCTCTTGTCTGCATTTCTGTGCCAATGCGCTTCGGCCAAAGAGGCGCTTGTCAACGGGTCTGTGCCGGGTCTGTGCCAGTACTGCAGACACCTGACATCTTGCATGCATGAACTCATGAACTTCGCCCACAGTCCGCATCTGGCCTGCTGCCTGCGTTGCCTGGCATGGCCGTGACCCCAGCGCAAGGGGGGGTGGAGACTGCAAGCAGACGAGCTAGGGCTGCCTTCAGCTGCCTTCTGCGCCTTCCAGGTGCAGCCGTGTGCCTTGGTCAAGCAGGCCGGGGGGCCGTGGGGCCGTGACCAGGGCTGTAGCGACGAGCGTTGCTGTCGAGGCTGATGGTCGGCCAAGGCCTCAGATCGCACGGCCACGGGCTCTGAGACCTGCATAGACCTAGGTACGGGCTCCAGCCGGCCCTCAAGGGGACAGAAGGCTTGCGTTTCAGACCAGAGTTCTGGATCTGAAGCCTCGGCTTCAGCAAGACTTGCGCTGATGGTGTTGGCTCGTGGAGAGTTCTGTGTATGATGCCTACAACTCATGCCCCATCTACGTCGTTCGTGGGTTTCTGTGAGCATCCCCCGTCACCAGGTGAGGTATGAGAGGCCCGAAGCCGGAGTCCCCGGAACCATCCGGAACCTCTGACTGCAGACCTGGTGAACTCGGCTTCCGCTCGCTGGCCTCCGCCTTCTCAGGCTCAGGGAGTTGAGATTCATTGTGATTTTCAGTCGAGTCGCCTTCTCTTTTGGAGCTGGGACCTTCCTTGAGTCGGGCCTGCAGGCCACCGTTGAGTCCGAAGTTTGGGAAGGCAGCGTCTGCTCCTTTCGCGGCTTTCGGGGCAACAGTTTGATGCGAACTGGAAGTCTGAAGTGCGGACGACGTGTGGGGAGTTGCTCCTTTTTTTGCACAGCGGTGGCCACGTTCAATTGAAAACAGCAGCGTCTTTCTGCAATGTGCTTGCTGCCCCGTTTTGTCTCGAACATATGCATGCCAGAACATGGTGCCAAAGTTTGAAGACATCGAGGAACTTCCGGAACCTCGTCGCCATCCATGAGACGCCCCTGGCTCAAGCTTTTGTTCCTGCGATAAGTAGAGTGCCGCAGCATTATCAGATCTTGGAGGGACTCACACAGTCAACGTCAAGGCATTGAGTTGAGGGGTCTGTTGGAAGTGCTGAAAGCAGTTCATGGTCTCAGTTCCGCAGGTGTCTTGCCCAAGTTGCGCTATGTATTGAGCCAGCAGACGTTGTCAGTAGCATAAGAGAGGGAGAGAGAGAGAGAGAGAGAGAGAGAGAGACTTGACTGTGTGGAAGAAGAGACGTACCCCTAGCAAAGGAAAAGCAAAGAGAGAGAGAGGGGGGGGAGTGGGGGAAAGGCACGCTCCTGTGCCGCGTCCCGATCCCTGCCCCAGACGGTGGAAGCAACAGACGCCACACTGGCGCTAGCAATCATGCCATTGCGTGCGTCTCCAGGTTACGTCGCAAGGTGTTCGCATTGCCCCGGGCGTCCTGCCGGAGCTGCTTAGGTCCGGTGAATTGGCAACCCGACCATCTCGCTTTCGGAGCTGTGTGCGGCGCGACGACTACAGCAATTTCCGCTCCCTGGGATTATGTACTGATTTGTTTCTTCATCGGCTGCGCACTGCGCAGGATGCACTTTTGTCACCAATCGGTTCTGGTGTTGCATGACGTTCATGCCCAACGTGCTTGGAACCGCGAATGCCGCAGCAGCTGGATGCAAAAATTGGGAGGTGGTGTCATGCAGATCTTCATGGTATTGGTACTGTCCCATGTTTAGCTCTGGCATTGCAGCGAACACTGTCTGGCGAGTGTCAATTCTGGTCCCTGTCGTTATCTTCCTCAGCAGTGCGACGGGCTTGAAGCTGCCGTGTTGGGATGCCCCCACCGCGAAGAGGTTTGACATGGCCGCGAAGGGCGAGATCAAGAAGCCGTCCTTGTGGGACAACGTGGAAGTGCTGAAGAACTTCAGGGCCATTGTCGTGATCATGCGGTGTGGAGCTGGCGATGAACGGTCGCAGTTGGCCACTCTCAGATGATCTCAGATGGTTGCGGCAAACACCTTTGCCCGAGCAGGGGCTTTTGGTCTCATGAATCCCTACAGCTTGTCCCTGTGGTCGCTGCTTCTGTGTTCGAGCTTGCAGCTCACTGAACGTGATTCATCACCACCGGCACTGGCGAACAACAGGGCAGAGCTGGATGTGTGCGCGTGCCCGCAGTTGTTCAATGAGACATCGCAATTCTACCACACAGCCCTTGCAGGGAAATGTCCAAACACGCAAACGGTGGCTGACGCAGCTGAAAGCAAATCCCTCCGGAACGATTTGCTACAAAGCGTCATCATCAATCGGCAACCACATGCTTTTCACGCATTACGTCCTCACCGTGGCAATCTGGCTAAATGCCACTGTTAAATCTCATCATGCTTACTTTCCGGGCTTCATCGACTTCCTGCAGCCTGCGTGCATTGATTGGGACAGCAGATGCCAGCAGGACTGACAAGCAGCTAGCTTTGATCTTCCGAAGTTGATGCAGGCCATTGCGCAAGCGGAAGAGGCCGAGTCGTCTGCGGCAGTGCTGAAGCGAAGTTGGTTCTGGGCGAACTGCTCAAAGCTCAAGCTCGCCCAAGCACGACGTGGCCGCAATCCGAAGCTCGCAGACACGTGCATCTTGCAAGAACCAGAGCCTGAAGTCAGAGCTAGAGAGGGATGCCCGAGCGAAAATAGCCGACAAAGCGCGGCAACAGCAATTTCATGCTCGGGAAGGTCTTTGTCAGTGGCCGCAGGAGTCGACGAGTTACAGCCGGCGCTGGCCAAAGCGGTCAAGTATGGGGCTTGCGACAGTTGCATTGCCGAAGGCAGACGCATTCTTGCCGAGTGACTGGAAGGCAACCGAAGCTTGTTGGACGAACTCGTGCAAGGCGTGCCCTTGCGAGACACTTTGCGATGCCGCACGCTCAAGTTGCCCAACTTGATAACGCAAAGCGAAGCCGTTGTCTTGCCGCCGACCAAAACGCATGACGCGCGGCAGATGCTGAGCACGCTGGCGGCGGCACAAGTCGCGGAGCATGCAGTCAACCAGGCTGCCAACCCCATACTGTCGAAATCGAGCTTGCGACGGCAGCTGGTTTAGCCGCGCTCGAAAACGTTCCTGTGTTTCTCGGTGGAGAAGTACATCTTCAAAGGGCGGGTGGGAGATGGGATTGATTGTTGTTTGAGGGCCGCTGCACACAGGCATTTGGTACGTCAACTTTGCAAAAAGCAGCTTCCAGGCTTCTGCGTAGCCCGGAAGACCTTTTCGTGCGGCTAAGCAGAGTGTTGAGGCCTCCGCTTCAGCGGCTTGTCGATGACGGGCCATCTCCGAACACCGAGGAGGGTTTCAGGGACTGTGCAATTGCCAGCGGTGGGCTTCTGGTTTGGTCTCCGGCCCTGCCAGGACTGAAAAGAAGTCTGAAATGAAGCCAGTGGACGAGACTCGCGTTGAGGCCAGAGGAAGGTATCGTGACTTCCAGTCGGTTTGGGTCTCGGGCGCCGGGAGGGGAATGCAAAGACCGCTCGGCATTCAAGAAATACTGGCTGTCTCACGGCTGTTTCGGATTGCTGGAAGGCCTCCCGGTCCCAATCGGAGGGGGATCCCTTGCGGCAGAAGCTGCTCGGGAACTCAGGAACAAATGCTCGTGTGTTGTACTGGGACCGTTTGTTAGACTTCCTTCGACCACGAAGTGTGAAGTGTTGTCTAAGGCTCTGAGTAAGCTTCTGTTCTGACTGAGGCGCGCCCTGGGATCAAGGCTCCCGGGCTCCCTGCACCTGTTAAGGCAGTTTACTATTTCTTGTCTCGCAGCTCCGCGTTGTGCATACTGGCACTAGGCATATCGTGGTGCCCCAAAACACTTGGATGACAGGAATTTTGGGACAATCTTTTTGTTTTATTATATGCTTACCGTAGGGCTCATAAGATTCCTCTTGTCTGACTCTGCCCCGCGCCGCAGCTTCGCAAGCTTGGGGCAGCAAGTGGACCAGGATGCCAGGAGGCAGGGGCTCGCAGAGATGGATTACGTTGAAACTACGTTTACCATGGTTTAGCTAAGTCTGGAGGAAGGTGCAGAGAAAGCGACTGTGTGGGTATGTGTTGTACTGCCCATGTGATGCATCTAGCACCAGCTCCGACAGTTAGCAAGTGCGACACAAGAGCCGACAGTCCAGAGGCGTCGTGAGCTGGCTTCACACCGCTGCCAGGAGGTTGTGAGTTTTTGTGGCTGATTCTCGGGCTCAGTCTTGTGGAACTTTCGAGAGTGATGGTGCAACAGCCGTCTGGGCTTCTTGATCCCTTTTGCAAGAGTCAAGCTTGGGTTCTGGTCTTGATGTGCCGTAAGCCTCTGCGTGACAGCTCCTGGTGGCTCTGGGAAAGCTGGAGCACGAGCCCGGGCCTCAAATTTTGGATTGAGCATCCTGAGACACTGCTGGGCCCAGGCTCACGGACGAGACCCACAATCGCGATAAAGAGTTGGCCGAGTTGAGACAGGTGCACAAAACGGCTTCTCTGGGAATTCTGAGTCTGAGCCAAGCTGTCTGCAGGCGATGGAGAAGAGATTGGCCCAAATGGTAGAGACCATCCAATCGAGGCAGCAACAAGTGGAAAGCGGAAGCAGCCTTTCACCGAAGTGCAGCCCGGCTGAGTTCCGTGCATTGCCCAAAGACAGGCTTTCTGACCGCTTCGCATCGTTGCTCAGCACCCTGGAAGCCTTGGCAGAGAGGTGCGTTCCTCCCCGCGTTCTCAACTTTTGGTTGGGTTTGCCTGCACTGGGCGTCGGCCGCCCCGCCGTAGGTGTGCCACTCTGGAGTTCGGCATTCAGCAGTTTCGAGGAGAGCGGCCTTCCCAGCTGCAGGCGAACTTCGAAACCTCCAGAAATCTTAGCTGCCGCAACAGAACGGCGTTGGTCCAGGTAAGTCCAGGTGATGTATAGCAACCCTGATAGGCGAGGTCATGCAGATCCAGAACCTGAAGCGATTTTATGATGTGCAATGCTGCGCTGGGATTTGCAGTCTTATCTGTTGGTCAGCTGCTATGCAAATCTGCTTCGCGGTTTGTGATAAGAATCTCACTTCGTGCATTTCTTTGGTGAGGGTTTTCTCTGTGTGCCATACGTACTTTGCCTTTTCGCTTGAGTGTCTCTCAGGTGAGCTTGCTACGGCCGGAAATCCTCCATGCTAGTAGCAGGTCAAAAGGAGGTACTTGCACAGCGTTCCTTCGCAGGTGGAGATGTCAAACCTGAGACAAATGTCTCGACCTCGGGAGTTGGGATTTGTACGTGCCGAAAGCCGGAAGTTCAGCTAAGGATGCTGGGGCTCCACGAGGACCTTGCCAAGGAGCAGCCCCTGGCGGCCGAACAGGCCCACAAACACACGGCCAGCGCGTGGCGCGTGGGGTGCTGCTTCCCTGGCTCCCCTTGTTTAGGCCGCCCTTCTGCTGCAGCAGATCGAGGAGGCGCTTTGTCGGTACACGGGCTGGGAGCTTCAACCGTGTGCCGCATGATAAAGCCACGGAGGGAATTATGTGCATGCTATCAAACGCACAACGGTGGCTCCCATGGCACGCATTGGTCTGCGTGGACAATCCAGTTTGCAGCTGTTGGATGCAGTGGTGTGTTTGTGCGTACGAGGATTCCTTGCCCAGTTTCTGCTTAGTGTGTGAGAAAGCAGAAAGAAGGACTGTGCGAGGGAGGGGGTGGATATCATGTCCCCATGGACTGTTTGCCACATCTGGCGGCTTGACAGTCAAACCTGATTCATTCGCGAACTGCCCACCATCGACCAATCCCGGCAAAGGGCGACTTCAACATTGATGCAGAGTTGCAGAAGGACGGCACCGACTCCGGCAGTAGCCTTGCCTGATAGCTGGGTAGTTTCTTGGCAGTTTGCTCGTTGGGCGAATTGCCGCAATCGGCAAATCTTCACGAATTCGGGAACCCGCCTATTCCAACAATCTATCTATTCCTGAGTTTACGGCAACACGGTTCCCGCACCAAATGACGCACAAAGGAATCGTCAGATCCTGACTACGTTTTGCCACAAGAATTTTGTCTACACGAGTTGACGAAATCATGGGAACAGATCTATTTCTCTGACTTGTACCTTCTCCACGATTTTGTCTAACCGGGTCTATTGGGTAAGGAGGCCGCGTTTGCCAAGCTGGTGCCCAGCGAGCCTGAAACTGACCTGGGCACTCAGGGCCCATTGCGTCGGCACTCTGTATCACTGGTGCCCTTTCAGGAGCTCGTGCGGTTGGAGCGGCGGGGGGAGGCCGTTTCATCAGCAGTAATGGACCTGCATGCCGTCGCACGTCACGCCAGGCGTTGCAGGAGCTCATCGATCAGTGATGGACCCGGATACAAGTCACTCAAGAAGCTCAATAGCTAATGGCTAATCGGCTAATCCGGCAGTTGCAGTAGTATCCCTGCATAGTCCATGGTATCTTTGCACTAGTTCTGGGAAAGCTGAGGTTTGTAACTACACCGGAGGATGCAGACATCGGCCAGAAAAGGGTGGGGCCACTCACTTTCTGTGCCGGAATCGTGTTTTGTCAGTCTGAGCCTTTGTTTCGGGGACAGCGAGGTCCCTGGAAGCTTGCGTTGGGTATCAAGTCTGCGCTTTCGTTTCCGGCGCTACTGTAGCTGCTGCGTGACTTCAAGTTGTCCACACGCAACCTCGTATCAGTGAAATAGTATGAAATAGTGCATGCTAGTGTTACCTCGTCATGTCGCTTCGATGTAGAGTCGGTGCTTGGCATTGCGTTACTTTCTTTCCGCTCCAATGAGAGGCTTTGCGATTCAATTTGACATCTCCGCTTGTCTGCCTGGGAAAGTCACTTCAGAAGGGTGGCAGGAATGTGCAGAACCTGCGACTTTCTCTTCCGCATGCCGCTTCTTCCCAAAACAGCCCGGATCATGAAATGATTCCCTCGGCCTTCTGATTACTTCTCTCCCGTGTACCCCAAACGATTCTGCCAACCTGGTTTATGACGGGTGCTCTTGAACACAACGTCTTTTTCGCTCTCCAAGGAAGTCACAGGATGCTTCGTTTCCTCTCTGCGTATGCAGTAGATGTTCGCAGACATGGAGATGGTGGGTGAATCAGTGGCGGTGGGCAGACTTAGACCCTACATGGGGACTTTGAAAGGCGTTGGTGCTGCAGCGTCTCGCAGCTTTGCGGGCGGGCCTGGCTGAGGAGGTGCTGGAGATTCTGCAAGGGCGAGACGCGAATCTTGAGCCATGGAAGGTCGCCAAGCGAGACCAGGCTGATGATGAGGTGGTGCAGGCCACAAGTTCAATGGCATGAGACCAAACAGGAGCACATTTTCATGCCAGCCCTGAGGCCATTAATGCCTACACTGCGACGCTCCATCGAAGCCTGAGTACAGCAAACGCCTAGCTGTAGGACCAACCTCTACCGTCACTGAAGAAGGGACCTGTTCAAGCCTATCACATGAGCTTCGAAGCTCGGCGAATGCCGTGTATTTTCATGTTTCAAGATGAGTCCTTACTTCCGTGACTTGTACACATTGGCAACACGAAGCTGTAGCGACTCACGCTGCCAAAGCCGCAGCTTGGTGAAACAGGCCTTGCAGTCTTTCGGCTGTCGCGGTTGAAGATGATTCATTCAGATATGGGGGGCATTCACGAATACCAGTGCGATAGCCTCCGCGAGGGCATGCTGCTCCCCGTCCGGAGATTGCCGGATGGGCCAGATCATCGCTAATGCAACCCGATTGGAATTCTCATCTATGGATCCCCAGAAGGTGCAGATGCTGCATGGATCAGCAGAGTGCTTGCTGTGTTGAAGACTCGCTGTCAGTTTGAGCGAGTGATGGGTGCCTCTGAACTGCCGTAGCTGCATCCTACAAGACTAGCGAGAGGTTCAGGTAACTCCGATGGCAAGGAGCTTTTACAACATGTTGCAGTATTTGCAGTCATCTCATCAAGAGCTTCTCGAAGGGCCCAACGGAGATGTTTCCCTATGCCTGCCATGGAGCGCTGCAAGCTCTACCCAGAGGTTCCGACGAGGCTCACGCGGCGCTCTAAGGAACCAACATCTGCGTCGACCGGAGCCAGGCGCCTGTAGTCCTCCGGTCTGCGGCTGGAAGAGAGGCCTTCTGTCTTCTGCATTTCGCACAAACTGCTAGAGAGCTTGAGCGAAGACCCCGTCACCACGACGACTTGTTTTGGGGCACTGCGCTGCCGAAGTCAGCTCTTGAGTCTGTTGCAGGGCCCCGCGCACGCAGTGAGCTGCTGTCGTCGAGGTGTGCTTCAAGCAAAGTTTGTCACGCTTGACCGGTAGGTACCATGCCAACTAGGAGAAGCAACCTTCCTGAGAGGTCGGGCGCACGCTGTATTGGCTGCGAGTGCTGCTGCCATCACTTTGTGGAGACGACAGCCCAGGCACACCCTGGTCCAAATCGAAGTCAATAACTCTGAAGGGTGTTGCAGGTGTGTCTGCAACAAGCAGGGCATAAAAGAGACAAGGAGGAGGATAAAATGCAACCGGGCCCAGCCATCCTGCTACAAGCAGTCCCAGCCTGCCTTCACCGACCTCACATATCATCTTGAGCACAGTCCTTGCATATAGTCAGCACCCAGAAGCATCCTCTTTCGCAACGCGGAAGGAGCAAGTCGCTTCGGCCCCTGGGCCTTTGTGCTCAAGGCGATGGTGAGTACATGGAGGCCCCTGATGGGTTTGAGAACCGCGTCGGTGCTTTCAGGGTTCTCTGCGAGCTTTGGAGAGTTCCTTCCTCTTGGGGTCGGGGGATGCCGAAAGCTGCATGCAGCTTCAGAAACTCGAGGAGATGTTTATGTTTAGTGGGTGTCACCAACTCGCCCTGCGGGGCGGAGAGCTGATCTCAGCTCTGAGTCCCAGGAGTTTGATGCCCTCGGTCGGGAGCTGTCTGGCAAGGCGCGTTTGTGGCAACCTCATGCTGAAAAAAATCGGTACTGCCCCCTGCCTGCTAATCTGAGGGCAGTTTGTTTCAAGCTTGGAGATGTGGACTCTTGTGTTTGGTGTGACAGGGAGACAGCTGCTTCTCCACAATGAAGTTTTTGCTTTGGGTCTCTGCAGTCTCTGTGCCAGATTTTCGTGTGAAGTGCAATGTTTACGTGGGTTCAGCCAGGAGGCCGACAATCCAATCAAGTGCATTTAGAGACTTCAGCAAAGAAGCACATGCTGTGGTCTGTTGTGCCAAAACTCACTCCTTACTTCGTTCTGGTTTGGGGACGAGCTGTACTCCTCACACTCGTGACTTCACAAAGTTTCAAAGGCGAGAGAAGCTTCTGACAGAGGAGCTAGCTCAGCATTTACAGCATGTCATTGTGCCGCTCTGCAGGCCGTCATTGTGGGCCTGGAGCTTGAGTGAAGCTCTGAAGTTTCAAGAAACTGTAGCATTCGTCGTGCCGGGAAGTGCTTTCTGCAAGATTCATGAAGAAAGCGGGCAGATCGAGGCTGGGATCCAGGCCCCAAGAAGCGAGCCGCAAGTGCCGCCTACGGCCCTTCCTTCTCACCGGAGGCGGGAAGAAGCTCGGCAGTCGAATTGGGGGAGTCTGGGACTCCTCGTTTCCGCGAGGAGTCCCTCGAAGAACTGGAGAACCTCTGCGGGACCTTGGGCGTGGAGGCTGCATGGGGAAAGGGAGTTACAAAGGATTTGCCTTTCTCCTTGCATCTGTGAGTTTCGGGCATCTTCCACTGCTCTCAAAGAGAACTCCCCGCGCGCCTCTCTTCTTGGCATTGCCCATTGCTGTTTCCTGAGACGGTGCTGTTGAAGCATTGAGAAGCTGCTTTGTTTTGGTTCTCAGCTCTCATGGAACCGCAGTTCCGTCAAAAAAACACACCGGGATCACGACATAGCCACATGCAGTCACATGCATGGATCGCTTGTAGCAGTAGCTTTGAGCGTGCTGCGATGGCAGGTGAAGGAGCGCGTGCTTCAACAGCTCCATCCTGAGACATGCTGACAATCGGGGAAGGCCCAGTCTGACATTCCTCAACAGTGAACCTACCTCGCATGCGTCGCTGTCCGAGATATGCATGATAGTGACAGCAGTGCGACCTCTGAGACACAGCATGGAACTTCACGTGTCGACTCGTCCCCCTGCAAGGGTCATCGGGACAGGTTGTGCTGTCGTAGATGGAACCTTTGGCAAACTGCCACGCCAGATGCGACCGGAAGCCTGCCCAGGAGCTGGTATTAGATAGGGATGTACCACAAGACAGCATGGCGGAGCTGGGACTTTGAAGCTGAAGTCACTCTTGAGCTTCCATGGCCCAACTGCCTGGCCAAGGTGGCGACCAACTTCCGGTCGCATGCCCATCGGCAGCGGAAAGGCAGATGAGCTTCGACAGCAGGCCTGCAGAGGGGAGAAGTGGATCGAATCAGTGCTGGTTCTTTTAGATGGGCTCTGGAGCTGTTGTGCTTGAGCCTCGCTCTTGCGACTGCCACGGGATAAGCAGATGCCAAAGCTAGTGGACACTATGATATTTCGGGAGCAACTCGATGAACTCGCACACTCCAAGATGTAGTTCAAAGGAAGGTCGCGAAGCAACGAGCCACGCATGCTGCATGTCGGGAATCACCGGTGTGTGCCTGTGGCTCACAGGAAATGTTGTTATTGGTTAGAGAAGACATGATGTTGGCAATCGTGATGTTTGAGAGCTGTCGCAGCACTCAACCAGACCCTGCGGGTGTAAGCAGAGCTTTCGCACGAGCTTAATAATGGAAGCCACCATTAGCTTCGTGCTGGAAGTCTGAGCCCTTCTGCGACCTTGGGTGGAACCCAGGAGCAGCATTGCGCCGCACCCCTGTTGACAAAAGAAAGCAACGCTATTGCAGCGGCAGCAAAGGGGCTGTGTGGCTGACGAGCGGGGGTGCGGTGTCCGGCCATGGAGACCGTGACATCTTCCAGAGAGACATGGCGGGAGATGTGAGGCAGCCCTCCCCGATGTTATGGCTTCATCCAGCATCTTGGACCTTTTGAGATGAAGAGATGTGAAGAGATGTGCAGGACATCAATTCACTGTGCTTGTGTAGTCTGAACACGCAGCCTAAGCCTGCAAGCAGTCCCTTGTTGATGACAGGCCTACGAGTCGTCGTAATGGTCCGGAAAGTCTGTCGAACGGGATATCATCCCTGCGGCACCTCAGAACATGAAATATAATACTGTATCAGTCACGTCATCACATATCATGACTGGCCTGCGACAGTCGACTAGAGTCTACAGGCAATAACCTTGGAGACACCTCAGGTGCACCTTTGCTCTGCCGATCCGAAGCCACTCCGTTCCCTGGCCATGTGCCCTTGAATTGACAACTTTGAATGCATGTACGATGTTGCGCAGCGGGGAGACTTGGCAAAAGAGGACAGTTACTCACTGCGTTGTCTCTGCACGGTGGCAGCGCAAGTTCGCAGGTGCATCACTTAGCAGAGAGAACTTCTGTTGAATTGAGGCTTGCAACCAGAGTCTCAGACTGCATTGGTTCAAAAGGCATACCAGACATGCGGAAAATGACCACTGTTCTCGGCACTGTTTGTCGGCAGCTTCAGCTTCGCAATGAGTCACGAAATGCCTGGCTCATCAAGTGAATCAAGTCTCCTGGTGCCACATCTGATGCTACTCGTGCAGTGGTGGACGAATTTTCATGATAAGCAGCTCGCACATTCTGCAGCTGAATGCCTTCGGCTTGCTTTGCCTCAAACATGTTGGCCTTATGTGATCTTTCAAGATCTTAAGGATCCTTCGTGTGATTCGCCGCTACGTGGAGAGTTACTGAGTCGACTGTTGGATCGCATCGTGCCCCGGCGGCCCTGGTGAGCGGGCATTGCGAGAAGTTCCGACACCATATCATCAGTTTGGATGTGGTCATAGCTGCTAGGGAGGTACGCAAAAGCTGTGCTAATGCGAACCGAAAAACGCTCCTTTGAAGTGTCCTCGCGATTGGAGACTCGCTTGAGGCGGGAAGCGATTTCGCTTCGCCAAGGCCCTGGCATGTGAGAATGGATGAATAGAGCCCCCGGGCCTTCAGTGATCAGCAGGGTTTGGCGGGATCAAAGCTTGATGCTAACTACTCTCTTTAAGTTCAAGATGTCCGGATGGCGGTGTTGGCTGTTCTAGGCTAGGTGCAAGCTCGAATGTGGAGTCGAAGTCGTGGTTTTCTGTGACATCCCTCGCTGTGCAGGCCTTCGGACACTCGCGATTGTCCGGTGACGCTCAACAACAGGCAGCTGCAGGTCAAGAGTGACATACTTGATGACCCTCGGAAGCAAAGCTATGGTCCATTGCAGTTGTCGTGGCCTTTGGCCTCAAGCAAGCTTTGCCTGACCAGGAGCCTTTGTTCTGCATCTCCCTGATGTTGGCGGATGTGGTGTCCACTCCAGCTAGCGATCTGGAAACTGCACAGGCTTGCAAGAGCATCTGCCCTGGACCCCTGCTTCAGCTCGGAGATACTTGTATGGTAGTCACGATGTGCATCGTTCTCCAACCACAAATGTCAAAGATGCCTATGCCAGCACAAGAGAGCTTTCCTGAATGATGTTGACGTACATGTACTCATTGCAATCGCCCTAGATTTCTGCTCATGACGCAGGCCTCTGTTGGCGTTTGGGTGTCAGCCAGCGGGGGCTCTGTCCAGGGGTGCATTTTTCATGGGACCCAAATCCAAGAATTGGGCCTTCACCCAATCACAGCTTTTCTCATCTCCGCCTATGAACGAGTGAGAAACTTGTGAGTCAGCTACCTTTTGCTGAAGCATGTCTATCGCTGGCAGGGTGACCTCGCTTTGCAAGTGATCGCAGTGGCACCACGTGCCCCCGAAGCCGAGCGACCTGCCCGCAAGTCTCCGCAAGTATTCTCTTTGCGCCAAAAAAGCTTCGTACTCATCGCAGGACAGGTCTCGGCTTTTGAGCTTTGCAATTGCTATTCCAGTCCACCGCCACCATTTTTTCGTGTTGGCACACACCGTTTCTCTACCGCAGTCATTTTTCCGTCAAAGTGCCACAGGCAATACCTGACTCGCTTTCTCCCTCAGGTTGGATTCATCTCGGGCAGGACCCGGCCTCCCGTTCTGCAGATGGCCCCCCCATTTAGTCGTTCAATTTCTCGAGATTTCTGCGTGTGTTGGGTTCAGGAAGTTACCCATCCATGCCCCAGCTTACCAGCTAGAAACTCCGGGACTGACGATCTCTCGTTTTAGGATCAGCTACGTGTATCTGTGGGCAAAAGATGCAAAAGACACATTCTGCAATCTGAGATGAAGCCTGGATTTTGTGCTCAGCGGCCTCTGATACCCTGGTGCAGCTCTCAATGCAGGGCGCTGTGCGATGGGCTGCTCGTGCTGCAGATGCGAAGGTTTCGATTAGCTTTTTTCTTGGACTTGACCAGCAGGCCAGCAGCCGCAATTGTTTTTTGGTGAGGGCAGCGGCAGCAGCAGCGGCGGCGGCAGCAGCAGCGGCAGCAGCAGCCCGTGTTGTCTTGTCGCCTTGTAGCAGGGCTAGCTCAATGGCTCAAGCTGGTCAAACCAACAGAACATGACAAAATCATCCGTGGATGACTATGTGTGAGACCACGGGCGTGCCTTTTTGGAGAGCTTCTGTCTTTCGAATCCGTTGAACCATGAGGATTGGAAGGACACCTTCTCGACGCGTCGCCTGGAATGACTTTCAGAGAGGAGACATGGGCGAAAGCGTGGAAGCACCAGCCGATGTACTGATGTCTGAAAGTGGCTTCGCTCTTCCATGGCCGGTCGATCCGACAATCTGGGTGTTTGAACCTGGTTTCTGAGGTCATGTGCTGGGCACCGGAAGCTGTGGCAAGGTATTTGCGGCAGCGCGCGGGTCCCAAGCTGTTTCAGTGCTCCTTTTACGTAGCTCATACAGGATCAGTGACTTCGAATCCGAGTCTTGGGCGAGTTAGCCATGCGAGGCCGAAGTCAGAAATGTTGCTGCCCGAGAGGCCGGGCGTGTTTGGAAAGTTGGCTCCGTCCGGACTCCGGATCGCAGCTCCCTATTGGCCTGCTCAGAGCTTTGGACAGGCTGCGTGGCCAGGATGGCTGTGCGGTGAAGGTCTTGTCGGGGCGCATTGACCAGACATCACTCAGGACAGAATTTCAGAAGACACGTGTGCACTGCCTCGCAAGGGGGATTAGAGCTTTTTGTTCCTAGGTCACTGGCCGCAGTTCTTCATGCCGAGTCATCGCAACATGAGTGTACCGACGTAGGGAATTGTTTCAAGAACGGCTTGAGCAGTGGTATCTCTCTGCAAGGAGTGAAGCTCTTTCCTTGGCAATGGCGGCAGGCCCTTGATTGAGTATCGTAGTAGCTGCGCAAATATCACGAATGCAAAGAATCCAAGTGCATCTCCTTTTCGTGCTGGAGGTCACCCAAACATCTGCGGCTTTGCAGGAGTTTTTTGCACCTCGCCGGCAGAGGGCAAGTAACATCAGGTACGTACCATTCTCCTCTCGGCCTGTTTTTGCTCTTTCAGGTGAGGTCGTGGAAAGCGATCCATCGAGTGATGGCTCCTTGTCAGCGAGCACTTTTGGCGAAGATTCGGACTGCCTTGGTTGTGCTAGCCCCCAACCCCCAATGTAGCTCTAAGCGAAGTGTGTGCAAGGCTCTCCCAAGTCCGGCGAAGGATCAGAGGCCGCCAAGCCGGAAGAGCAACTCTTCTGCAACAGCCCGCTCAGCCCGCAGATTCTCATCGCAGACTTCCAAGATGGATCTGACTTTAGAAGACTTTGGAAGGGCCAGGGCGGCCAGGCCTGGCCGAGTGTCCCGAAGCTCCGAAGGTTCAAGCATGGCGGACCCTTGTCTTGGCGAATAGTGCTCGAGCTGCTGCCTGGAGGACTGCGTGGAGGGTTGGATATTGTTTGTGTTGTCTCAGAATCTGAGAAGGGCCATCGTCTTTAATCTCGCACCAGCAAGGTCATCAGGAAGCAAGGCTTGCCCACGAAATGTTCTCGAGAGTGTTTAGCGGGCTGGGTGAAGGTGCCGTGGCAATCAGCAGATTCTTCCTTGACAGATCTGCAAATTGCGTTCATCACGTCCAACTCTGCGACGCTTAGGTGGTCGCTGTGCCTAGCATGATGCATGTTAAAGATGCCCATCATCAGATGTGCCAGGTCCGTCCCAGCAGCATGATATTGGATCATCTGCAAATTTCTGAACTACGATCAGCGGAAGATTTGGGCGGTCTTCGCTACTTCTTTCAAAACTGTCTTGTGTTTATGGCTCGAAGCACTATTTGCAAGCCTTGTGTCGGCCCGGAGCTTCGTGTCGAGGCAGGCTCGAGAATTCAACCGTTTGAGATAGACCTCAGGGTTTCAAAGGGCATTGCGCCGCATGGACACTCCACTGGCTGGCAAAGTATGAGTGCCAGCATCGAGCTGCAGAGGTGCCAGAAATCGAAGAGACATCACGCAAGCAGGAACATTGCCTTGAAAGCAGTCACGCAGAAGTGGAGGCCTATTTCTCGCAATTTGCTCTTGCAGTGACTGCGGCCTTCTCACCCTCTGACTTTGAACTTGAGCTGCCGATTTGCCGCTGCACTCGAAGCTCCAAGCAACTTCGCGACTGAATGTGCGCGGCGTCGCTTTCGGTTTCATTGCCTCGGAAAGCCGAAGTCGCTATCTCCTAGATGAGAGTATGGTAGGACTGGGAACATCCAGGAGATCTCTTTGACTCCGTGTCCGACCATGGGGTCCTCCAAGAGGCTGAAGCCATGGAGCTGCTCCTAGGCCTGGAGTCCTGGAAGTCAGAGATGCCGTAAGGCCGTAAGGCCTCAGAACTAAGCATCTACATCCGAGTGTTTCTACTGTTGTACTCGTCAGAGCTATGAGAGGCCATGCTCGATGTCGACTCGCGTAAGACGGTTTGGGCAGGAAGCTGTTGGCATGGGCTTGCTTCATCCGCCCGGCTGCAACCGCCTGCAAGACACCCTTGGCCACTGGACCGTGGAAGGCCTTCTATCAGCTCTGGCCCACCTCCATAGTCTTCGACTCGTCCATCGGGACGTGAAAGCTCTGAACTCAGTTCCTAGCCAGTCCGTGGGAGTGGAGGTTTGCATTGCGTCGCTAGCATTCGTGGTTGTAAAGCTAAGCTCCATGAAGATCTGTCAGGATACCCTGCCGCATCCCGCATGCTCACTGAGGCGGAGAATGTACTCTTCGGGCGCAACAGGCACGCAGCGTCTGCCATTGTGTGGGTGTCCTTCTCTGGATTTGCGTGCGCTGTAGTTTTTGTAGCGCAAATTGGCGGTAATTGACAATCTGCTTTCTAGAAGAAGTTCGAGTGTGAAGAGTTTCGCATCAGGTTGAACTGGCCAAAGGTCTCCTATTTCACTCTCAGCCAATCGTGCGCAGTCGGAGTTACCATGGCTCTATCTGCACAGCGGGTTCTGATGCAAGAAGCAGTCAGAGAGAAGATTGGAAGTTAACTTTTCAGCAAGACCTGCCTCATACGTTGCCAATCCCTGATGCATTCCTTGCTTTCGAGACCTCGAGATGTGACATGCATGGGATGAGGGGTGTGTGTGTGTGTGAGAGCCCTGA